AAACTAAAAAAATTAAAATTATATAATCAAAGCAACGCCCAGGTCTAAAAGCTAAAAATCTAAAGAACTAATATTAGAAAACTTAAAGACTAAATTATATTTTTAAAAAATTATATAATTTAAATAATAAAAATTAACAAATATTTAAAAACTAAAAAAAATTGAAATCGAGCCTTGAAGCAATGCTCAGATCTGAGAGCTAAAAAATTAAAAAAATAATATTTAAAAAACATAAAATTAAAATATATTTTTTAAAAATTATATAATTAAATTTATTTACAACCAAAATTAACAAATCTTTAATAACTAAAAAAAATTGAAACCAAGCTTCCAGAGCAATGCCCAGGTTTGAAAGCTAAAAAATCAAAAAAAATATCAAAAACTTTAAAAAAATATATATAAACTATTTTAAAATAGAATTTTGCTATTTACTACCGGTAGTGATCATCACCGGTAACACAAACTATTTTTCACGTGATCATGAAATATGAGAATTGAACAACTTTAGTTAGTCGAATAATCATCAACTATATAGTTAAATAATATTTATTAGAATAAGCATATACATTTTGCACGAAATGCTAATGCTATAATAAATTATTTATAGTATCCTATATGAGAATTAATTAAATGACATCGGCATTTTGTGTAAGATACATATCTAAAAGCACAATACATATTTGAAATCAAGCCCTTTAATTATATCAAATCGGCTATTCAACAAAAAAAAACTGACTGGTTGATTTGAACTAATAATTAATGACTACATACATACTACGAAGTAATTACATTGATCAAAATCGTTAGTATAACATGCACTAAACAAAAATATAGATCCTGAAGCAACTTTGAAAATCATTTTATCAACAAAATCTTTCATATATCTTACCTTATATATTGCCAAAATTGCTGATAAAATGATTATTTGAAAGTGAGCATCGGGAGATCGTTCGCAAATAGTTTGGCTGCCAAATATATAGCAATACAAAAATTAAATTTGGCAAGCAAACATAACGATGATGAATAAATGAGATTTTAGCTTGTCAATACGTAATCAATAATAAGCAATCAATAATAAGCAATCAATAGTGATAACAAAATAAGCTTTCAGCACCTAACAACAATCAAACAAAATTATAACTGCAAATGTATGATCCTAACTTTAAACCCGATTTAATCATAAATACCTAACCCTAACCAAACAGCCGTATACACATAATTCTTACTCTAGCCAAAATTTATTACAAATACTAGTTTCTCTACTACCTAATGATTCTCTTTGTCAGCTAGATCAGATTTATACTTTGAACATCCATGAATATTATGGCCTTTACCCGAACAGTAACTGCAAATTTTAGAAGATGAAGTATGATGTTCATTATGTTCTTCAACAGATAACTTGAGCCATTTAGGGGGTCATCCTCTCGGCTTATGATATTCTGGATTAGATACCTCAATATTATTCAAAGGTTGTCGTGTTATTTGAGTAGTTGTGGGAAGTGCCGGTGATAAGTTGGAAGCAAGTTCTACAACTTCAGAAGCTATATTCAGAGTTGATGTTTCTTGTTCTACAACTTTAGTAGAAAACATACTTGGAGATAAGGATATTTCCTTTATGCCTAGCCCAGTATTACGATGATATTTCATAATGAATTGTACTAATACTCCGGTTAATTCTTCAGTAACACCCTCAGAGACCACAACTTGAACACTAGTTTTGGCCACAGACATCGTTGCACCAAATTGAACTTTCTTGTTAACATGCTCCCTAATAGTTGATGTATAAACATCACCAATTCTTAATTAATTAATATAATGTAATGGTTTAGTCGTAGTACTTTCTACACCTTGAGAGATTGTAAAAAATTCATAGTATCAGATGAAAATGAATCAAACCAAAGGGTATGAAAAAGCGATATATGAAATATTGCATTGCTTGAATAAATAAAAACCTGATATTGCTGTCGACATAACATTCCTTGATTTACAATTTGCATACAAGTACAAAGCAACGTTGAGTCATTAAGAATAGCGACATAATGTGGTGCTGAAGCT